AGCTGTAGACTCAGGGTTCCAGTGCCTCATCATCCCTTCAGAGCTGCTTAAAAATGTGCCTTGCCAGCTCTGTGTCAGGAGGCGTGGCTCAGGCGTGTGGGGCTGGGCCGCAGAATCTGCATTGCTCAGGGAGCCTCCCTGGTGATTCTTTGAGGATGACTCTGCTTCGCTCAGGCCACGTGAGGTGTGCTTTTGCTGTCGGATTCGGATTCCACGCACGTCTCCAGGCCGGCTGTGTGGCAAGCATGGTGCAAGTTAACATTTTCTCCTCTCTCAGCTCCTTCTAAAATTTAGGAGGTCGGCGTTCACCTCTCCATTTGACCCATGGGAAAACCTGCTCAGGGTAGCAGCTGTCAGTGGTGGCGTAAGATCTAGAGGCAGGTCCGGGGAATCTGCCAGCCAGAGGCCCTCGTGCTCCGGCGGTTCTTTGATTTGTGAGGAATTGATTGCTGGGTCTCCCCCTGCACCTTCCCCCATCCCATGGAGGAGCTCTTTCCTTACACTGCCCGTCATCCCCGAACACCTCTGCGTCCGAGATGCCTCTGAGAGGGGTAGCGTTTGGCGACTGGGTGCAGGGTCCCCTCCCTGAACTCACAGGCGGGGAACCTCCTCTGAGCTGGGGTGGTAGCACTCGGTGGGCGGGGAGTAAAGCGTTACAGGGGAAGTCGGTTCTAGACAGCGGTGTCACCCTTGAAACAGGGCAGACCCACCCTCCCCACACCGCCGTGGGTGCCGCGATCTTGCTGAGCTGCACTCTCAGCAGAGACTGTGGAACAAGAACGGGAACGTTACGGAAGTTGCTTAGATCTCACTGGCCGTGTACATTGATTAACAGTCCTGTCTTCTTTGCTCAAGTGGTGAGGGGGCCGCCGGAGAGAGGCAGGATTTTCAAAGCTCAGTTTGCTGAAGGTGGCCGTGTTTCTCTCTCCTGCAGACACTCCGGGTGAATGTATTATTAGCATTTTAACTGGGGCACAGGGCAGGGAACGCATGCTCTGACTGCCACCGAACAGTCCTGCCTTGTGGTTGATGCTGACGGAGCCCAGGTCCTGGCAGTCGAGTCCAGGATGCGCACTCGTCGACCTGTGGGTCCCGGGAAGAAGAGCGCCCTCCCAAACATGAGTTATTAAGACAGAGGATCAGACTGTTTCCAAGACAAGGGTGATCTTGGGAGCTGAGCGGTCCTGCCCTTGATGGGGGTTTAGATGGCAAGCCCATCGGCGCCCTCCAGGGACCTAGTGCTCACAGGTGTTCCCCTGCGCCGGTCTCACTGCCCTGCGACCTAGGACTTAGAGGACGGGCGTGGGGAAGCGGGGGCAGCGCCTTACTCTTGCAGCTTAAAACTCCTCCACGTCTTCCGATGCCTGCAGTCCCCAACCAAATGACATTTCATGAGCCACCACCAGGCAGTGTTGGGAAGGACTGTGGGGCCCCACTCTGGCTCCGTGGGAAGGAAGGCCGTGACTGATGAGCCACGTCTGCCCGGGGCGAGGGAGGGAGGCCCAGCAGACGTGTGCCATCTATCTGCAGTCTTCTCGAGCGCCGGGCGCTCCTCCGAGCCAAGGAGCAGTCACCGGAGCCAGAGGGAGCGGGATACGACAGGACAGGCCATACAGCTCCAGGCCACTTGTTGGCTCCTGGTGCCAACTGCTGGATGACAAACAGATGTCACCATACCCGCCGCCTGTGGTCAACTTGTCATAGCCGCCTGAGCATGAAAATGCACGTCCCTGGAAAGAACATTGTATTTCAACCCGTGGTGTCCGCCATGGGCTGGGGGAGAGCTGGCCTGATTCCTTATCTTTCTGACCCTGCTGTAATCTCGTGGGGGGATGCCGGGTTCCTTCCCCTCATGCCAACCCACGGACAGGAAGCAAATGCCATCTGGCGTCCCCGGAGTCCTGGGAGCCTGGCCTCCCTCCTGGGGCACTCACGCCACCGAGGGTGTGGGAGGGAGGCCCCGGGCGGCGCAGCCGGTGGGTGGCCCTGCTCTGTCTGAAAACAAACACGGACAATGGAGGAGGAGAATGTATTTCAAAATAATATAAACATTAAAGCTGAGTAATTAAGTAATTAAAAATTTTTTAAATGCCCTTAAGCACAGAGAATATATATATATATATATATAAAATCTGTGTACTGAACATGAAATGTGTGCTTTGGAGCCTGTCATTCACTGTGACCCCGGGATCACACTCCCTCTTGTCCTGGGGTCAGCAGGGAGGCAGGACGGGAGGAAAGAGGCTCGAGGCCAAAGCTGTTGCCACCTGATGTCTCCCGTCCAGGACACTGTCCTTCTGTGTGTCCCCTGAAATAAGTTTCCCAGGGGCTCCACCTGGAGGGCCAGCAGCGTCATCGTCCCTGGCGGTACAGCAGGCACCCTCCAGGGACACACAGAGGGAGCCTGTCCCCGGTGGACACAGTAGCAGACTATGCAGGGGGCGGGGCAGGAGGACCCCATTTGTAAAACACCTGCAACGTGCTCTCTCGTATGTGTCGTCAGCGGTGATTTCCGCAGCATCGCAGCCAAGGAGGCAGTCACTCCCCAGGTTTATAAACAGGAACCTGAGTCTCAGAAGGAGATCCGGGCTCCCGAGCAGCAACCGACTGCAGAGAGACCAGTTACGGAGGGACCACTCCCAGGCCCCAAATGTGGACGATGTTGCTTAATTTCACCCTCCCAAGGCGGAACTGGTGATCAGTTTGAGTGCTGACTCTCGGTCCCGATGGGCTCCTCTGGGCAGCCTCAGGGGATGGGTGCAGCACGAAGACTCAATATGCGATGAGCCAGGTTTGCAATACACCAGCTCTCCTGCCCTGACCTAACCAGGGGGAATTCAAGGTGCTCATCAGGAAAATGGGGCTAAGAACTGTTACTCTGGGAATTAACTAGGTCTATAAAATACTCCGCACATAGTGAGTGCTTCACCAGTGAGAGATCTGAAGCTCCAAAAGGCAGCTTATTCAGGTCGCCTGACCCAATGCTGTCCCTGCCAGCTGCGGACACCAGGGTCCTTCTCTGCTCTGGACACGAGATAACTGACTCACGGGGCTGGTCCTGTGTTGTCGGGAAACGCTTCTGCTCCCGTTGGCCAGGCCCTGATCGTAGGAAGGCTATGGTGCACTTGAGGAATCGTTCCTCCCAAAACAGTTCAAATGTTTGGAAATGTTGTCACTCCTAATGTCTTAACATGAACTCAGTTGTCTGAAAAACAAAAAAATTTCACTGCCATGGACCATTTCCACAGCTTTTAATGCCAAGAATCAGCGCATTATAGCCTTCCTCCCCATCAGAGCTTGTTAGAAGCACTGACCTCAGAGTCTTGGACCAGTGTCAATTTTATAAGCACTGTTCTTTTGATTGTGGCCAGACAGGATAATTTAAGGACATTTTCCTTGATATCATTTTGTTTTCCATTTAAATCATGGAAATTGTGTCAAATTTGAATGATGCCATATGTAAAACCACGTTAGGACTGCAGATATTGAGTCTGTGCTGGGATAGCATGGCCTGGTAATGTAAATATTTGTTGGAGAAAGATTAGCAAAGCAGTATATTCAGAATTGCTGCCTCTTCCATTAACTCAGCAAAGAAATAAACTGGGAAGATATTGGATTCTCTAAATCATAACTTATAAGCTGTCACTGAGCTGCTTCTAGCTGAACTATTTTTGGGGGGCTAATTAAACTTCATACGATTTTTTAAGCCCTTATTCCACCATAATCTTGTTTATTTTAAATTTATATCTCAAATATCCAATGGCTAGAAATTTGCTATAACTTTCCAGACTCATTTGAGTTTAGAGTCGCATTAAATTTCATGCATTCATTACTTTCCTGTCGTTCAGAAATAAAAAATGCAACTGGAAAAAGTGATTGGGAAATTAATCGTTTGGAACGAGAATATATGAATGCAGCGATTACACAGAATAAACGAGCAGCCTACCCACAATTTGTCTTTTAGATAAATGTGAAGTCATTGGTTTCAGAAAAATTTTCCAAAGGTAAGCTTTTGCTTGCACCGTTTTCCTCCTGATGTGTCCTCAAAGCCGGTGTGTATCTTATGCTGAGCCATCCCTGAAAATGTGGCTGTGATCCAAATCCAATTTGTAAGTCACATCGAAGGCCTTGGGTGTTTGGCTCTATGATGTCCTAAGCCCCCTTTTTAGGTTTGTAAAGACGGGAGATCAGGTTATCACGGTCTGTGTCAAGAGGCCGCTTAAGGACAGGGAGGGTCCAAAGGCACAGTGACCTTACCGAGCATCTATTGAGAAGGTGCATCACCTTCTCAAGGTACATCGTGGTCCTTCCCTCTCTGAACTTTCCCTTGGGCAGCACAGACTCTTACAAAATTCAGTTCTATAATACATCCCCCCAAATGCCACCCAGAGCCAGTCTCCACTTCTCCACTGATAGGGGATGAAATACCTGAAAGGCGTATTAGGCTTTTCATCGCAGATCAGAACCAAACCCAGCTGAGACCTGACATGTAGAAAGGCTGCCACCCACAGAACTTTTCCCAGAAGTTACATCAATTGTGACCTTCACCGGCTACGCCGGGAGAAACCGGTTCTGTGTTACTGTCAGCCACAAGAAGGAACTGCATCTTCGGCACTGAACTTGACAAGAAGAATTTCTAACTTTGATTCAGTGACAACTCACACGGCTCAAGCCCCTCAGCGGCAGAGGGGCCTAGGATCCCTGGGTGGAGAGCGAAGGCTCAGCAGCGTGCTGGTGCCGGAACACAGCGTTCTCCCAGGTGTGGGACCCGCACCGACAGCCCGGCCGGGGCCACTGCAGTCCCGGCCGCCCAGGGCTGCGGCGGCCGGCCGGCCCTCCCCGCCTCGGCCGGCAGGGCGCGCGCCCCCGAGGAGAGGTCTTGGCCCCACCTCAGGGAGCAGACTCTCCGGCGGCGGCCCGGGACCCCCTGCGCGCCGCCGACGACCCTGCGCCCCAACCGGCAGGCGCCTGGCGGGTCCCGGGTGCCCCCGCATCCTTACCTGGCGAGGCCTGTCCCGTGCGCTCTCGGGGCCCTGGCTGGCTGCGGCTCCTCCAGGCTGGGGTCGGCGGGGCGCAGGGGCGCTGCCAGGCCCGGCTGGGCGCGCGGCAGCGCGGCTGCGGCTGAGTCAGCGCCCCGGCGGTGCGGGCGAGCACGGACCAGCCGCCGAGAGGGGGCTCTGAGCGGAGCGGCGGCCGGCCTGGCATTTTAAAGGCGAGGCAGCTGGATGCCGTTCAAGCGGAAACGCAGGAGAAACTTCACCCCCGGCCAGACAGAGCGTGGGCCGCGCGGGGAGGGGGCCGGGAGCCCCTGGCAGGCGCACGGACCAATCTGGGCGTTCAGATATTTCATTTACGGAAGAGCAGACACCTCTCCCCAAGCCTCCGCCTGCATTATGCTTAATACCCAGACATTTCCACTAAAGTTAGGATCACGGCCAGGAGGCCGCTTTGGAAACTCTGGTCAATGCAAACTAGACTGGAGAAGAAAAAGGTGTGAAAACGCTGAAGTTGCGCCTTTGTAAAACCAATATGTATATTTGCCTTTTTTTTTAAACAATTGGAAAGCAGGAGAAAAACGGTTACTATTTGCAGCAGAGAAACAGACCAAATAAACAGTATCCTTGTGCTTGCTGCCCTCTTAGAAATGTGGATGAAAAATCTCATTCTCATTCATAGCAAAACCACAACTAGATAGAGATAGAAACTTATCTGGGAATATGTTCTATTTTGTATAAAATTTCTCATCTCTCCTGAGGGACTAAAGAGGACTTGTGTGTATGGACAAATGATTCTTATTCTTAAACAAGGAAATAACCGTATCAAACCCTCTTTAAATGTAAAGTCCATACAATCTCTATCAAATTCCAAGTAGAATTATTTTATTTTATTTTAATCTTTATTGTATTTTCCCCCCATTACCATTTAATCCCCTTTTACCCTCTCCCCCACCAAGTAGAATTTTGTTTTTATCTTGACACAATGATTCCACGTCTTGTGTGGAAGGATAAAGAGAGACAGCCCACAAAATCTTGATGAAGAGATTATAAGGCCGCGTAGCCACGCCAGGTACTAAATTGAAAGAACACACACACGGCTGAACACAATGCAATTCTGCTGGCGTGCTTAGGCCAAAGGAAGTGCTTGATACGTATTAGTGCATTTTATTCCTCACCACCACCCTGCGATGCAAATACTAACACTGGTGGCACAGCTAAGGAAGCGGGGGCCCGGTGGGGTAGCTGTGATGCTCACCGTCACACAGGGAGAAGGGAGGGTCAGGGCGCGCAGGCCTCTGCCACGCTGCACTGCCTTTATCACAAAGCGACAGTAATTAAACCAGCATGTCACCAGCTCGGAGAAGACTGCTCAACGGAGTGGGACGAAGAGCCCAGAATTACAGGAACGTAAGAAACTGTGGTGGTTAAGGTGGCACTTCAAGCTGATAGACAGACGGATTTTTCCCAAAAATAATTTTGGAATAACAGAACCGTAATTAGCGGGAGCTGGTTTTCTACCTACTTCCCCACAGCAAAATAAATTCCAAATCCATCCATTAATGATTGTGGAAAAAACGAAGCCAAAAAATAATCGGATGACTATATAGATGAGCATTTGTCATAAACCTGGGGTTGTGAAAGCCTTTCTAAATATATCTTAAACCATAAACGAAGAAGACTGACAGATGTGATTATAAAAATACGAATACATTTATTAAAAAAAAGACACCGGAAACTATTAAAAAGTAAACGACAAGCTGGAAAAAAAAATATTTGTTATAGAGTGTATGATTATATTTATTTTTTTAAAATTCAGGGGGGAAAAAATAAAAATCATGGGGGGATATTTCCACGTCAAGAATCAGTCCTTCAGCGCTTTGATGTGCTAGGCCGGCCCCAAGCTTCTTTCGCCCTCCACGCTCCGAGGGCTCAGATGCCTGGCCTTCAGGCTCCTCCAAGTTTGCAGCCCCTGGGAAATCCCAGGCCCCTGAGTTCACCTCGCGCCTGCCCTCTAGTGAGCGAGGAGGGCAGTGCACTGTGCCCGGTGCTGTCCCGGGGGCTGCCGAGAATCTGGGTAAGTCTTGGCCGTTTTCTCAGCCATGTTGCTGGGGGTTGAGAGGGCCTTGGGGCCCCCCGGGTGTTTCATTAAATGTAAACATTGGCGTGGCCTATACATGTCCTCAGCCCATTCTGACACTCTTATACTTCTTCCGTATACTGGCAGCCTTAAAGGAAAAGCAATTGGTTTGAACCCTTCTCAACAATGAGAGGCCCTAGCCATTTATATTAATCAGTCATCAAGTATTCACATATTCATAGAACACCCCCTGGGTGCAAGTATGAACAAGACATAAATAATGCAAATCAGACATTTCAGTCATTTAAAAATAATTTCCTACCCATATGGGCCCTGTTGTTTTAAGTTTTAACAGAATGTTATGACTTGTCATTGGCCCTCGTGCTGTTTCAGTTCCCCGTGTGCTGCAGCAGCCAGGACTTGTCTGAAGAAGAGGGACGGTCTGGAGTGTCCCCGTGCAGGCAGCAGCCCTGTCCGGGTGGGAGACCCTTCCTTCAGTCTCCTCCCTCCCTCCTCCCTCCCTCCCTCCCTTCCTTCCTTCCTTCCTCCCTCCCTCCCTCCCTCTCTTCCTTCCTCCCTTCCTTCCTCCCTTCCTTCCTCCCTCCCTTCCTTCCTTCCTCCCTTCTTCCTTCCTTCCTCCCTTCCTTCCTCCCCTCCCTCCCTTCCTTCCTCCCTCCCCCCTCCCTTCCTTCCTCCCTTCCTTCCCCCTCCCTCCCTCCCCCTCCCTTCCTTCCTTCCTTCCTCCCTTCCTGCCTCTCTTCCTTCCTCCCTTCCTCCCTCCCTCCTTCCCTCCCTTCCTCCCTCCTCCCTTCCTTCCTTCCTCCCTTCCTTCCTTCCTTCCTCCCTTCCTTCCTCTCTTCCTTCCTCCCTCCCTCCCTTCTTCCCTCCCTCCCTTCCTTCCTCCCTCCCTTCCTGTCTCCCTTCCTTCCTCTCTTCCTTCCCCCCTTCCATATTCCTCCCATCCACATATCCATCCATCCATCCCTCCATCTCCCATTCTTTCCATCGAAACAGGGACCAGATCATCTCTTCGTGGGCTGTGAGAACAGTGGATCTGGTCAGAGATGATCTTATCTAATTCGTGTTGAGGGGCTTGTCCCAGCGTCACCTGACGCTGGGTTACAGGCAACAGGGGGACTTACCCTTGGGAGCCTCACTGCTGCACCCTCTCCCATCCCACCTGAGGCCTGTGTGGCTCCCATCCTGCTCACGCGGGTTTACAGATAAGACGCAGGCAGCCTTGGCTGCTGCAGGAGCTGAGGGAGAACGGTGAAAAATCTCCCTGGGCAATGCCATGAATTATCAGTAATGGATGATTCCCTGTCACACTGATTCTGCTGCATCATAAGGAGCAATTTCTGGTGTCAAATGAGGTGGAGAGTGAATGTGAGTTTCCCTAAATTTTCTCTTCTACTTTCAACTTTGGTACTGAGCTCAGCAGAGCTGATTTATGGGAAGCCACGGGAGACATTTCCAAGGCTATGAAAGGAAGGTTAAATCTGTCAGAAAGACAAACTGAATGAATGGGTTCTTAATTAAAAATATAAAGTCAGCAGATGAAAATGCACGGATACTTTTATCTCTGACATGTAGTCAGTGTGGCAACTCTACGCTGAAAGTCGTTAAATGCCAAACATACCGTGCTGTTCTTTGGAAACCATTTTCATGACCAAGAAAAGCAGGCTCGGCGGACACAGAGTGGCAGGTAGTGACGGTCCATGGTTGGGGTCATTTGGGCTTTACGGCCATTCAGCCTTTTAGATCAACGATTTCAAACTCAGAGAGGGATACTTGACAAGTACAATACTCTCGAGACAGAGAATGGAAAAGATATGATTTGTGCCCCAATGAGAGTGATTCATGGGCTGCTGCTTAGTTTTTGATTTCCAGAGAGCTTGTCCAATCTCAGTTCTAGTGCCATCGATCGAACCAGGAAGTGTGGTTTCATCCCACTTATTCCTAGTGATATTAAATAAAATGAAAAACTTGACAGCATATTAATAGGCACTCAGGGCATGGTCTGCAGCTTAATAAACCTAATTTAAAAGAACGCAGGCCGTAATATTTACCTTTTAATCAAATAAAAGAAAAACTTGGATGTAGCCTCTTGAGCAAATATATCTCCTTTCAGTAAACCTGTATGTTTCTCTCCAGCTGTGTGCTATAAAAATGCTTCCCTCCTAAGGTTTATGCTTTCGTTTCCAATTCTGCGGTCAATAACATGCAAACAGAAGGCTCAGATTGTCTGGGGGGGAAAGCCACAGGACCCCTACAGTGTCGGGGGCCGAGACGCCATTTCATCCCTCCTTCATCGCGTGCTCTGTTCAAAAGCCAGAACAAAATAGGGCTTCCATTCAAACCCTGAAACGGTTTGAAGATTATAGAGCAATTCAGGAAGAATTTTCCTTCAGAAGCACATACTTGTGTTTCCTTTGAGCCCGTTAGTTTTGCTTCTGTGAAACTCAAGCATGAATTTTATATCTTTACGCTAAAACAAATAGCTCCTGTCAGGCTCCAAGGGCAAGAAGGATAGCACAGTCTACCAAGTCCAGTAAGATCATTCATTATTTTTCTGACCGTTCTCTGAACAATGATGGGCTAAGCGATGTCACCGGCAGCATGCCCTGTGTTGGAAAGCTCCGTGGCCCGTGTGTTGAGCATGTCACAGGTCCCCAGTAGACCTCTGCCTGCCTGTTCCTGGATGTCATCCCTGAACATCTTCCCTTGTGATCTTTCTAGGTGCACATCCCTCAAGATCATCCGCGTTCCCAGGCTGTGGACAGATCTCTCCCTGGTCTCCAGTCGGGCACCTACCTCTGGGTCTCATACTCACTTCAGACGGCCTCAAAGCGACGCACAGACCAGGCCCCAGAAGACCTTTTCCTGGGAACCCCAGAAGGGGGCGGTCCGTCGCCCCGAGCTCCACACCCTTCCCAGCTCCCAGTTCCCAAACAACGGTTCCAGGCGAA